GAAAAATTAGCTTTATCGAGATTTCGGCTAGGACCATCCATTTTCCTTAAAAATGGAACAATTTTACTGCCCATGTACGAATTTCACCAAAAGCGCTCACAGAGATTTAACGCGAGTCAACCCCAGCCTCGTTCTCACGTGCGCGCGGTTGCATTTTCAATATGGCGCTGGGAACTATAAAAAGGTCTATTACAGGAGGTACTTTAAGGTCAATGGATCCTTTTGGCAGTCACGAGTTGTAGATGAGTACTCATTTCGTCACTTTCGCTTTCATTTTCCTTCAAGTCTTGTTTAAACAATACCGTAACTCGATATTAACACTGGATTTATTGTCAACGATGGCGTCCTTCTAGTAGCCTTAATCTCGAGCTCTGTCTCTCATCTCCGTTAGACTCCCTAGTAAGAGACGTCTGATAGTCATTTCTCCAAGCGGGCAATCAATAGAGGTTAATATTAGCTTATTTGATTTCCTGTATACAGCCTGAGACAAGAGACGAGCGTCAACTAGTCACCTTTGCGTGTGTTTGTCTAACAATTTTTGTGTTAAAAAAAAATCCTTTTTTTCGACAGTTCAAAGGCCAGGAGGAGGGAAATGCTCAGTCGAGCACAATGTATTTGCCTTAGTGACAATTTCAAGTAAAAATATTACTTAAAAACGGACTTTTGCCTAACGTGGTATTTAAAGACGTAATACCTGCTTTTTCCTTTCCCCCCCACAGGCGGCCTAAGCTCCAACTGTGAGATGATCATCTTGCAAAATATGAGTCATTGCGAAATTATAAGAGTTTGTATGGGAATATTTACAACCGCTCTCAGGAATAAAAAAATACAGTAAAATTCTCAATAAAATACCTCACCTTACTTCCGCAGTGCAGAGCTTGTTATCTGACCACATACGATGTTGAAAAGAACCCATTTTAGTGAGTTATCTCTTTTTAGGTTTACTACTTAAGAGAAGGCCAGGGCTGCACACTCCATTTCCGAACGCCTGATCCAAGAAGCAAAATATTCCAAGCTCAACATGACCGGGCGGCCACATATCGAACGCATAATCCAAGCACATATACTGTAGCTTCATTTCAATTCACCACATACTCAGTCTTCTTCGTGGAGCCGACGCTAAGCCGCAGTTTGCTTCAAAAGTTTCCAGTTTAGACGTCGCTAACAGCCCACATTCACTTTCACACGTCACACAACCGTTGAAAACCAGCTTGGTAACCCTGCCTCCTTTGCAAACTGTGGCTCGCCGGGGACCACACCGTCACTTATCACCCGTGGTTCTAAAAAAAATTTGTTGATGCCAGTACCGGTGTGGTCCCTGGCGAGGCACATGACGAGGCCATGACTCTTATTTTGCACGATGATCATGTCACAACTGGAGCCGCTCGTGTTCCCTTTTATCAATCTTAATTAACAATTTCTTAAAACAATCGCTTAGCTGGCAAGAGGAGGCCTTTTTTCGGCCAAGGAATCTTGCGTTTGAAAATGAAACATGACCTTGGTCTTCGAATACTTGTGGTTGTGCAATATTTCTGCAAATAATTGCACAGGGTTTCTTTTGTAAACAATAGCTGCATCGTGCTTTGCTCGAGAACAACTAATTTTATACCCGCCTAGTTAACTTGCAAACGCAGGAAAGACCTAGATCTGATCGTTAGGTCCTTTCTGAAAAACAAATCCTGTAACTCTTGTAAGCGTGGTGTTATTGTTGTCATCTTTGACCTGACAACCTGTTCTATAAGCTAATTCTACGACGAGGGTTTCGAAGAAAGGCCAAGATTTGTTTAGGATGCGAATCACTTCTGTTCATTCCATTTCAGTTTAACATATTAAGCAATTGAAAAACATGTCATGATAAAATTGTTTCGGGAAGGAATTTTTCTCTCTGTCGCGTGCAGTAAAGAAACTAGAATGTGCTGCGTAATTAGATACAATTAGGTAAACAATCAACCACGACCGAAAAATTTTTAAATTTAGGTTCCCAATAGTTATAAAATTAACTCTTGCACGTACTTTGAAGGGCAGCGAATTAAGATCAGGTAATCTTTAAAGGGATGACAAACGAAGCTAATACTTTGGGAGCCAAAATTATGCTATTATTCACAAAAACAGACTATCTCATTAAACCTGTTTAAGCTAAAATCTTCTAAAAGAAAATTTTCTGCTTACGAGAATGTAAAACCGGCTATAGAATAGATAACCTAATTTACCCTTCGATGGAAACATACCTTGTTAAGTAATCTGGCGATTGTGATCCTGGAATATTGAAAACAGGCCTGAAATTGGAATTAACACTGTGTGATTGTTTCAGAGCCTCTGGTGATGAGTGTTCTTTGAGTTGCGTGTAGAGCTGTCGTGAAGATTCATATGTGCAAACAAAACTACGTGTTATTCATTTTGAAAAACAAATATTGTGACATCCGCACTTTGACACAAATATTCGTTTCAAAAAATCGCGTGGGTTTGAACCGACGACAGAAATTCAGTTACGAGGCAAAGGTAGAGGAGACCTTAGCTTGTTTCAGGCGCCGGTTCAGTTTGTAAAACGAAGCTCTACATTAACTCACGTGTGACAGTTACTGAGGAGCAGAAAAAAGAAGAAACTCATACCCAAGCCTCCCTCACTTTCTCTCCGTTTTATCCACCGAACGTCTGTAACAGCGCAACACAAACCTTTGATTTGAAATATTTCCAATGAGAAGAGAAAAACAAACAAAAAAACAACAACAACGAAGAAAAAAAAAAGAAGAACCAAAATATTTCCCTGGCCTTGAACGAGTGCGGAATCCGAAAGTCTGGGGATGGGTTCCTCGTAGGGACTCGGAACTTTTTTTCGTTATCCCACGCTCGAGACAAGACAGATAGTGAACAAATCTTCTCAATACCGAACTACAACTCTTCATTTCCGACATATGTGATTACGGTTCAGTATCCTCCTCATAACACAGCTCTACTGCACCGAGAAATTCCTTCATTGTCAGTTTATTACTCGAACTAGCTTTATAGGCCGGTTGGTTTGTCGCTACAATTTTCTTGAAGCAGATATCCGTGCAAAAGTCTTTATCTAATCGATTCACTTTTAATATTTTTTTTTTTCCGCCTCAGCGTTTTTTATCATTCTTGCCTCAATTTTCAACAATCGTATTGTTTCTATGTAAATATTTAGGAGTTTTAGTCAGAACTCATTGGCTTTTTTCTATTGATTATATAAGCGCATGATAAATAATTTATCCTTGAACTTGAAAATGAACACTAAGCGGTCGAAACGTAGTTGCTTTTTAACGTTAATTTTTTAATAGTAGAACACTTAACTTGTCATATTTCTTTTAAGGCTGGAAAATTTCTTGAAGATTCAGTTTAAAAGAAAAACAGACCTTTGTCAATTTAGATGCAAATTTTAGTTAATTTAAGTTCCAACCGAGCTATTACACTTCATTTATTAACTATTGGATTATGCACATTGAATGTTTGTCCAATGAAAAGTTTGTTCAAGAGAAGAAACTGCCGAGTAATAGATGATCGGAACACAGCAGACTGAATCACAGACTGACTGGGCCTTTATATTTTGAAAGATTTGCTCTGATTTGGGTACCAATCTCTAAGAACTTACGAGTATGTGCAGCATGATACAAAACCTTTTTTATTAGCAAAGACAAACAGTTATTTCCATAAAAATACTAAGTTGGCATTTTTTTCTACAGGATGGATAGTACATTGGTGATTTAGTTTATATAAATATTGAGTCGTGATTAAGCTGCCCGTTTCTGTTTCTGTTTCTCTTAATCGATCCCTAAATAAATTCAATAAATATGAAAAAAAGAAAAAAACCGGTTTAATACCAGAAAAGCTTTATGACAATTTGCTCGAAGCAAAAATTTGCCAACTTTTAGTAGTTTGGGTAATTCTAGTCGAGAATTTCTGACGGTCTGTCTCTTTCGTTTTCGCACAGCGAAAAATTAAGGCTTAAAAGGGAGCAACAGTTAGTGGAACTTAATATCATAAAAGAGATTTGATAATGTTTGAAAAATAGTATCTATTTAGTTGACGTTCAAAGCGTCCTCCTCGTTTCCTTCAAACCAAAGGCCTTCACCAAATTAAAATCTGGAAATTTTCCCCTTCTGCTGACATTTTACCAGACGGGAAGATGTTTCAGTTTTCTATGGATATACAGGTAAATATTCAGTGATTTTTTACCAATTAGAGCGCACGTTGTGTCCAAGTTATGACATAAAGGTAAATGAAAACTATACATGTACATCCTCATTGATCTGTCCTTGCCACTGACTCTTCACGTTGTAATGATACTGTACTGGGCCCCGTTTACCTACCGAGAGCGAACACCATACATCACATCATAGCGTGATTTGGCGTAAATGAGCTCATAGATAAAATAATTTTTCTTGTCAAATATCTCAGGCATGGTAATCCCCTGCTTTAAGATGTTCAAGTCAGCGGCAACAACGACATGTGGATGAGCATCTAGCAAGGCAGCAGGTAGGGTGTGCCTGCTGACGAAAACTACAATCCACTAAGGACTTCATTAACGCCACTGAGACTGTAGAGATACCTGACGATTACAAACTAGTGTCATTTGATGTGAAATCGCTTTTTACCAGTATTCCTCTCCAACTAGTACTACAATGTACTGAGACTGCTATCCTGCAATCCACCGACCCTCTACCGCTACCGACAGAGGACATTATGGACTTACTAAACCTTTGCTTGACATCAACTTACTTTCAGTACAACGGTAAACACTACAAACAGTTACACGGTACAGCTATAGGGTCTCCAGTTTCCGTTGTTGTAGCAGAAATTGTGATGCAGAACATCGAGGACAGCGCCCTTTCGACTTGCCGACAGAAGATACCACTTTGGTTACGCTACGTTGACGATACTTTCACCGCCGTAAGACACCACGAAATCGACGCATTACACCATCACCTTAACAAACAAAACACTGACACATAGTTTACTAGAGAGGTGAAGAAAATGGTAAACTATTTTTTTCTAGACTGTCTGGTAAGCCGTGACGACAACTCACTACGGACAACAGTTTATAGGAAACCGACACATACCGACAGATTACTGGACGAGTCATCCTACAACCCGACATCACACAAAGCCACTACAATCAGGACTCTTACCCGACGAGCGCAATCAGTATGTAATACGACAGACAGCTTATCCGACGAGAACAAGTACCTTAACCGTGT